ACGCACACGCACAAGCGCACGCACACTCACAACTCACACTCACACTCACTCACTCTCCCACTCTCACTCTCACTCACTCTCGATCTCTTAGATTTTGTGCTTATAGACCTCACACACACACACTGTTTGGGGCCTCTTGCCGGGAGAATGACCCCTCACCCCCAAGCTGGGATAATGCTACTTGTATCGTGCTTCTGTAAGTTCCTACATGTCACTATCCTTCCAATAATATGACCTCAGAGGTTCAACATGGACTTCCAAATCAGAAGGAAATACACCCAGTCAAGTGTTTATTGCCTTAGGGCATTGGCCGAGCGATGTCCTATGGCCTTGAGGTTCAGGGTGCGTCTTCTTCATCTCACGATGAAAAGAGGTGGCCTCTATACACAATCGCTTCCAGCTCTGTGCATTCCGTCGTTCATGTTTTGTTGCATTTGCATGCCCCGCAAAACCAACTATGTGTCTTGAAACCGCAAGATTCCACTGGTAATCTCAGCGTCCCAAAGTGCCAGCGATTCTGCGTTTTGAGCGAAGTTGATGGAAAGTCGCGTCCAGGGACAGCCGTGACTTCCAATATCCAGAAAGCGTGTATGCCGCTGATGCCCCAGATACAAGGGAATACAAGTGTTGCATTCGTGGTGCTACGTAAAATATTTGATATACTATGGACATGCGCATATATGGACCTGAGGTCATGTCGATGGGCTTTCCATTGGAGAAGTGCATCCAGGCTAGTTGTATAAAGAAGAAAACTTTGCCCAAAAGTGCATCCCAAGTTCGATTTGGGTGTGTATTGAAATAGGGAGACCTCCCGACGACCCCCTGGGAAATATACCAGTCTACCCATTGGTTGGAGGTCCCTATTGAAATACACACCCATTTGGAGGTTGATCATCACACTCTCATTCTACGAGTTCCCGGCACCTTTTCGCATTTCTTTGTCACTGATTTCTCGCTTGGTCAGTTCAGCTCTTCCAATCCCAGAGACATGTGGCCACCTGTGACCGAACGGCCAGAGTCTTTTCGTTCGGCTGTTCTCGGCCTTTGGAGGCATATCACCTGGTGGGTGACAATCCCGAGGGCATCCTGCAGTTCTGTTGCCAGACTTTGGGCCGTTAGGCGACCGTTGTGGGGCCTCCACCATAGTAGTTTGTAGCTACTAGTAATGGCCTCCACCTAGTAGCGTTGGCCTCCACCTCCTCATATTCTTAAGTTCGAGGTTGATCTCTTTGCAAGTTTGCCAATGTAATCATTCCCTCCCAGCAACTCATTGCTCTGAAGCCACACATGAGAGCACGATGGTTCCAAGCACTAAGCACCTGGTTGCAGGTGCTGGCTCCGGTGTGAAAAGTCTCGGAGTGAATGGAGAGCTCAGCACACCGTACAAGTGCGCTATGTATCAATAGCCACAACGGGCCATTTGTTGACTCCCCAGCTCGGGCACGTGTATTTGGATTCACATTTCAGGGAATTATCCTTGATTTTGATGCGCTTTACGGTCACGCCGATACAAGCAGGCCCCTGCTTGCAATCTTCCTAGGCCCCTATCCTGGCCAGTCAACCAGAAGGGTCTCCCTTGAAAGACTGGGTGTTTGGATTCGGTTCATGCATGTGAAAGCCAATTGACAGGCCAGGGTTGCATGTTTGCTTCGAGTCGCGTGTGAAGTTGCAACATCATACGCACATGACTTGCACTACTTGTTCCTGGGACAAGTGCCCGCTCCTTGTTGCAGAAACTGGACTGACGCGAAGCAAGAATGCTTTTCCAAGCCAACCTTTTGGAAGAGCTTGTCAACCCCAACAACTACACGCATATACAGTTTGTGGTTTTTGCTTTAAGCCCCTCAAAGAGTGACGTGCTTGCAGAGCCTTTTGTTATCTCTTCGGCCTCCTCGAGGATTTGGAAAGGCATTCAAAAGTCTGGCGGCAGCAAACAGGCTGCCCCCAAAGTAGCTGGAGACTCTGCAATTCTAAAGCGTGGGTGAGCCGGCGCCGAGATAGATAGGTTTGCATCGTGCAAGTGTTGGTCCTTCACGAATGGAGAGTCTCGCATAACCCGCTTGTTTTCGTTTGCAAGTTAAAAAGAGAATGAACAGAAATTCTTGGCGTCTCGAAAGCCTGAACCTGGACAATAAGGATTTGTACACCATATTACCTATAGAGATAGACATTAGTCTCATCAAAGGTATGACTGGTGGTTGTCATGCTGTGGGCGAGGGAAGACGGGCATGGCCGGAAACGCAACCTGTACCCGGCACCAAGCGGACCAGTCGTCCCTTCGATGGCATTGCTCTTTCCAATCCGTCTCAACATGTTGACTTTGGGCTCTCAGCGAAGTAATGAAGTAATTAATTGTGCGATGGAAGGGCAGGTGGGGAGCTTGCAGATGCTTTGACAAACAGCTGCAGAAAACAACTTGTCTTTCCGCTTTCTCCATCTCAAAGCATTTCCTTGGCCTTCTGGCTTCAATCTTATTAGATCTTAAAAGTTTGAGATCCTCTACTCTTAATCCTCAAGCGAGAATGTCTTTGAAGCTTGTTGCAGCTCGCTTTGTGAGGCAGATGATCAGGATGAAGGGCAGGCCGGAGCACTGGAACCTGTTCCAAGGTGTTCATGCCGCCATTGTCTCTCAAACAAAGCAGTTTTGCTTTTGGGCGCCAAACGCAGCCTTTGTGACGGCGAGAAAGACGCTCACGAAGCCACGTTTTGCTGATGTTGTGATGCTTAAAAACTCTTTTCCTAGAGAATCACATCCTTCCCTAATGTATATAACTGTATATATATGTATATTGTATAAATGCTTTTTGTCTGACAACATTGTGTCCTCAGTTGCAGCGGAAGATGCACCTGTTCCAGTGCTGGAGCATACAAGAGTCTCCACCTCAGAGTTCGCACTGCGATCAGAAAACAGAAAGGCAGAGAAGATAATGAAAACAGGGTGGAGGAACAGACAGACAGAGGTGACCGCTAGTGACACAACACACACTTATGGATACTCCAAACAACTCCAGGCGACAAACTCCGCCTGTCGCACCTCCTTTCATATCTTCTAAGCAGATGCTGCTTGTCCAAAGCTGAAAGATGGGACGGGGACGTTCCAACAAAAACTTACAGGTCAATCGGTCGCTTTTGGCCCTTCTTGCGCCTGAATGACGGGGTGCTCGCCATGGACGGGTGCGCCGGTGGATGGATGGGACCGCCTGTGCGACAAGAAGACTCCAAAGAAGATGGCCGCTATTGCATGGTGTCAGAGCGCCTGCCTGTCCATTCAGCTCAGAATGCAGATGTGATGTCGTATCGGGCAGTATGTGTATACAGGTACGTCGAATTGAATCTGGCCATGCAGAAGGCCCTTGCGGAGGAGAGGAGTTGAACTCTTTTGAAGCAACACGTTCAAGGTTTGTGTTGTTTTGTTGGGCACGGCATGAACTCCTCAGGAGTTTCTGTTGGAACGAGCAGTAGACAGTGCCATGGGCGACTGGAGTGAAGACGTGCAGCTAGGGCAAGAGGCGGCGGCGGGAGCCAGTTGGTTTTCTGAAAATGCATCCATCAGACCAACGCAAGACATGACTCTCAATCCATTGACATTGATTTATAAAATTTATCATGATGCGTCGTGATTTTAACCCCTTTAGTTTGTCAAATGCACGCGCGAAAAAGCTCCTAGTAGCGTCCTTGCTCCTAGTAGTACGGCCAGGAGCCCCTAGTAGCATCCTTGCTCCTAGTAGCGATGCCAGGAGCCCCTAGTAGCGAACCTTGTTACTAGTAACTGGAGCTGGGTTTGCTTGTCGAGGCGATGACCGAGGAGGACTTTGCTATGTTCCTTTTCGAGCTTTGCACGCTTTGGTGCGGTTGGGATCCTCAACTCCACGGAGTAGCCAGAGAGAACGGGGGCTCAGTGGACCGTGCAGCACATCTAAGCACCAGAGGGATCAGGTTTTTCAAGCACATCAGACGAAACCGGCGTCGGTCTCGGTGCTAGTGCGGGCGCTTCCTTGAAGAAGCGTGAACTATCCTGCGTCCAGTAGGTAGCAGCTTAAGTAGCCAGCTAGAAGCTTACTTAATTAGTAGGTGCCTACTTAATTAAGCAGGAGGCAGGAGCGGGTTTTAAAAAAGGGTCCTGTTTTGGGTCTCACCGGAGGGTCTCGGGTCGCTAACCAACACCTCTGAGGCCCAAATGTCTCCGTCCACGTGTACTTGCTCTTTCTCTGTGCGGTGCGCGCGGAAGTCCCGTCGTGCCGAAAGTGCCTGGTGTGCCGTTCATTTCAGATGGGGAAGCCAGTGTGGCCATACCTCAAGCCGCTTGACCTTGTTGCTTCCAGTACGAGACTAGGCAGTGTTGCACCAAAAAGCCTCTGCAAATCTCAATCTGAAAATTGTTGAAAGGTCTTCATTGCCGTCACAGACCATTCTGGAGCCTTCACTCTGGGGCTCCGAAGACTGGAGGACTGAAGCCGTATCGTGCCTCGTTGCTGTCGCATGCGTGCCAAAGGACTCAGGTGTGTATCTTTTTGGGGTGTCGCGTTCGTCTCTTCGACCGTGGCTGCTTTTTGTATGTTTTTGTCGTTTGTGGTCAATTTCAACACGATTTTTGGGAGGGAGCCGAGATCGGCTCGGGCTGTCGATGCTGTTGAAAAGGACGTTGAGCGCCTCCCAGAAACCTTCTTTGAGCTGCTAAACTTGCAAGGCCCACTTGGGAGATTTTGGCAGGACAATTCTTGCGACTGTGACTTTTGTTATCTTTTGTTTGCTCATCTTAACTTGTGGACTTTAAAGGCACAAGGCAACTAGGCTCCGCTTCCGGCATGAAGTTCATGGAATTCCACGGACGCGCCACTTGATTCCTTTGACAGGGTGGTCGGAAACACCAGAGGCGGGTGGTTTTCTTGATGCCGTAAAATCGTGACATTTTATGCCGAGTGGGTTTCTTGATTGCAAAAAGGGGTAATGATGTGAGAATTCGTAATAATATGGATGGTAACCTCTCCAATTTTCTTTTGGATGTGTTTGAATGGTTTTTTGGGGTAGCTGCAAAATAGTCACCTATGGAGTTCAGTTCATTTGCTTTCATTCCATTCTGTTTTCATTTGCTCTCATTCTGCTTTCATTGTGTTTTCATATGCAAGAGGATTAATGTTTCAGTAAACGTGCAAAGGAAGACATTGCAAAGCAAGCCAGGAGCCACAACAGGGAGAGGGTCTATAATTGTGAACCTGGTCTCTCTTGTGGATCCTTGACACTTGTAAGGGATACCCTATGCAAGACTGTTGAAGTGAAGCTTTTCATAAGAGTTTTTGATTAAACACATGGTTTTGGAAGCTGGACGATTTTTGGATGTTCCTTCATGTTGCCTTCATTCTGCTTCATGTAAAAGAAGCAATTCCAACGCAAGCCGAGAGCCACAATAGGGAGAGGGTCTCTAATTGTGGACCTCCTCTCGATTGTCGATCCTTGACAATTGTAAGGGGTACCCGTTGTAAGACTGTTGAAGTGAAGAGTTTCTTTCATAATCAAGTGTTTTTACTTAAATGGTTTTGGACGTCGAAATATTCTTTGGAAGATTGGACATGTGTTTTTCTTTTTGGAAGTTGTCGCCTGGAGTTGTTTATGTCTTTTTTTGAACTTAATTTTATACATATTTTGGGGCGATATATAGATAAAATGTGATCTGGATTTTCTGGAAATGTTGAATTTTACAAATTTAGGACGACCTGCTTAATATGAATTAAACATTAGTTAGGCCTCAAACCTGAGGCGCTTCATCATTCTTGTTTGAAGCCCTGCAGGCCTCACTTGCCTCATGGCTCCATGACAATGTGGCAACAGAGGCGCAGCAGGTGCACCAGTTGATTGGATGGAGTCAATGGCATCTCGCTCTATCTCTCGGTATGTTCGTTGGTCATGAGGGGAGAATGCTTTGCAAAACCAACAAGTAGGCAGGTTCAGTAGGAAGGACTCATGGATTCTATAGATCGAATGCACAGATGAAGTTCCATTTTTGCGGGGGTGCCCTTGAACGTATCAATTCGATCTTTGAGTTGGGACAAGAAATGACACTGGAGGATGTTTGTTGTACATTAAGCTTTTGTTTCATGATCTCATCGTGCTTCCATGGGCCAAGTTGTCGGTTTGCTGGTTCCAAACCACTTCACTCCCGGAACTTTGGATCCAATGCTAGGCGGCAGTGCAGCATGTGCAGCGGCAGGCCGGTGCCAGCCCCCGGCAGCGCAGCATGTGTTGAAGGGTTTTAGGAGGCCATGGCTCCAACATACAATCCAAACGTCACGGGGGACACATCCACGGGTAAAAACCTGCACATTCCTGGGTCTGATTTTTGCCACCTCCAGATCAAGGCCAATTTATGGCGCAGCATCGCAGCATCATCAAGCTGCTTCCTGATCCCACAGGTCTTTCAGCTGACGCATGATGCGCGATCGGTCTTCCTCTTTCAGTTGGAGGACCTGCTGAGCGAACCGATGGACCGATGGACCGGGTGAGCGAACGCGTTCGGTATCGCGGGCGAGGACGCCATGCTTCGCTCGTGACTGGTCGTCAGGAAGCCCCACCTGGTGCACAGATGCTGGACTTGGTGAAATCCTCGACCAAACAACTTGCAAAGGTGCACCGGCAGCACCTGGGCAGTTTTGTGGGCAGATGACCGTTTGTTTACAACTACGTATTTACAACTCATGTTTGGCAAGAGAAGCAGGTTGGAGTGAAATTGTTGGAATCTGCGGGTGAACAGAAGAGGATCACCAGCATTTCGAGCATTGCTTCCAGCTACTTCCGGCCTGATCGTTGTGTCAACAGTTTTGAGTGGCAAGAAATCAAGGAGGAGGTTTGTGGCATCTTCCAACTCCTTGTTTCCTCCGCTGGTCTTCCAAACTGTACATATATATATAGAAAATGTGCATATCCCGCTGAGCTTGCTCAACTTGATCTCCTTCCTGCTCTTGTCACCAGATTGGTAAGACCAGCCTGCCCACCGTGGTGGATGCGTTGGATGCTCGGAATTCTTGTTTCATGTCAGACCGGGGGATTTCCAACGGCCTATAAAATGCTTGAAAGAAGTGTTCCAGTGAGTTACAAGAAGATAGCTTGTAAAGTGCACTCTGGCCCGCCCTGGGGAAGAGCTGGAATCACTCGCAAGCAAGCAATTCGCTTTCAACTGGCTAGGGGAGTCACACCGAGCCATAACACAGTGAAGCCGAGCCATATGCAATTTGTGCAGATGTTATATGATGGTATCAGAATTGGGAATAAAATCATCGGCTCTTCCTCCTGCCAAGGTGCCTTTCACTAATCACTAATGTATACTGAACACTGCATCCGGCCATTCGGCAACGCAGAAAGAGCGTTGGTTCCGACTGAGGCCCCCAAAGCCGGGAACGCAGAAGCCACAGGTTTCTCCACCACAGGCACAGGATTTGAGCAAAGCTTCGATTTGAGAATAGAATATGATGAAATAAGAACCAACTTTGAATCAAGTACTTGAGTTGTGGGCATTGCAACTCATGTCCGGCACGAGGACCAAACCACCTTTGAGGCTAAATTTGAGGCAAAACCTCTTTGTGCCTTACCACTTCATGCTGACATGGAGCGAAACGCTCGACTTGGTTGAGTTGGTTGAGGTTATTTCTTCATGAGTCTTTATTTGGCGTGGCACGTGGAATGCCGATTGTTTGGTCAAAAAAAGTACAGAATCTGATACACATTCATCCGCATTCTGCCAGCTAGATCCGAGTCAGTTGGATCATTGCAAAATTGTAAAAATGACCCAACGACAGGGTCAGTTTTGTCAACCAATGATCCGAGTCAGCTTTGTTTCGCTACAAAACACTGTTTGGCATTGAACGACGGGTGTTGGACGAGCCCATCGAGCTCCCACCGGTGTTGGTGTTTTTTTTTGGTGTGGTCGAGGTGGGCAGTGGGTGGACTGTCCACCGGGGTCCGACCCAGAAAAACAAGAGGCCAACGGATCGGTATGAACTGAAAGCACATACATACATCAACGATAAATCAGCGATACTCGATTTGATGATACTATATGAGCAGAAATGACCCGTTTGCAGTGTCCTTGGACAGTTGCCTGACGGATGTTTGGCGATGTTGATGTGGCAGTGCAATCTGAAGGGAAGCTTCAGACTGATTGATGTGAAGCAACAGCATTGGGTTTGCCTCTGACAGCTCCGACTTAAGCCATGAACTCATCAATGCCAGAGCTTGCGGCGAATGGCTTGATAGTAGTGCGAGAGAAGTTTGGGCTTTGGAGAAACCAACTCCGTTTCTCGATGTTGGATGTTGGCGCAACTTCCTAAGTTGATCGGAACAAAGTGAACTTTGCTGAAATCAGCTGAATGATCAGGAAGGACGTTTATGTGGTCGGTTTTGAGGAGCATGATAGTAAATGCATGTAAATGCTACATTTTAGAGTTATATATTACACTGACAGTAGTAGACAAGCTTTCGAATTATTCGAAGCTATTTGCACTAAGGCATCTAAGACTCAAGTAAAGGTAACATATTATAGCAACATCATGTTGCCTTTTTTACACATTCAGACACTTGTCATTGTGCTCCAAAGCTGCCATTTTGGGGGGGGGGGGGCGATTCCGCGGTTGCAGTTCCATGAGCCTTCACAGCGTAAGTAATTGGACCGCGGTCCATAGGCCACAGACGGCCGTGGTGTTTTGTGTTTGTTCTTTGCGCGGCTTTTCACGCGCTATTTACAGTACTGACTTGCTGTTTCCTTCGCCACTGGGAAGACTGTTTGCACTATTTACCTCATGTTCACTGGGTGTTTACAATGTTTTTTTCTTTTCAATGGTGGAGTCAACTCATGGTTAATTGCAGACTGTTTTCAGGTGGGGAGGCAATTTGCAACATCATCATTGTAAACGGTTGATGCATAAAACACCAGTTTGACCCCACTAGATTAACATGGTGCTTTGCTACGACGCGACTGACTTGCTCCGTGACCTCCCATATCCGTCTATGTATTTAAAAGCAAAGTAGTTTGGGGGGTCCTGATGCAACATATGCTCTCTCCCCAGTCAGGTTGCGGTCTCAACACTACAAATTCAAAAGTACGCGAGAAACACAGTCAGGCTAAGGTTTACGACGTCTTGAAGTTGTCCACATCATGAGAAAACCCCACGGCCGTCTACACATGTCTACACACTGACCTAGAGCAGGAGAATCTGAGAACACTTATATAATTCTAATTTTATATTTATTTATTGTTTCTAATAGCTTCTTGTTCCTAGTAGTAAGGCCAGGAGCTCCTAGTAGCGTCCTTGCTCCTAGTAGTCAGGCCAGGAGCTCCTAGTAGCGTCCTTGGACACCCAGCCTTGTTGGAGTCATTGAAGGCATGTGGGACATTGGCACTGCCAAAGCACGCTCGTCGCTTGCCCAGAGATGCAGTAGCTTCTGCAGAACACAGAGAGAAATAGAGAGGGGGAGAGAGAGGGGGAGAGAGTGAGTGAGAAGGGTGGATTGGAGGTTTGGTGCCAAAACACCGCATGTTACGTCCACACTCAAGACCTAGGTAGGACCTAGTCTAAGTTTATTATGTAGCCTGCTTGAGGTGGAAGTCTTAGCCTGGGTCCATCAATGTCATGTTGCTTTTGCAAAATGAGGGGTAAAGGTACACCCAAGTTCAAAGCTCGGTGTAGTATGTACAAGCCTTTAAATTGCTTAAAGGCTGCATGATACTGTTCTTTTCTGATTGGTTGTCCGATTTGCATGCCTGCAGTGACTCGATCCTTTCAACTTCCTTTGCCGTACCTGAGCATCTCCGTTGCGGTGCTCCAATCCATTCACACGACAAACTTTGGAAGAATATCCACACTACAGATATGCCGTCCGTTGAAATCTCACATTGCAGGAGACGGTCAACATGCCAGCATTCAAATACTCATTGTACTGTATCTTTAAGAGAAAGACACTTGGTGCGCATCGAACTCATACCAAAAATCCAGTATGTTTCACTGCCCAATCACAAGAAAGCCTCATTGACCGCTGCTACCGCTGCTACCGGGTTCGGGATCTTTGAGGTTCCAGGAGCCAACCATCATGGCAGTGGGCTCAGCGATGCTCAGCTCACCCAGCTGGGTCTTTGTGGCAAGTCTGTCCTGTCAAGGCCTCCAGAACCACGGCCGCAGGCAGGATCGGAAGGATGTTTCTCAGGGAATGACACGCAGGAGCCGAAAAACACACCGGTCATTTGGAGTCAAAGAGTTTTTCTTACTTGTTTTTTTTTCCAAAGATCAATATTAAACAGATTTTCCTCCAAATGAAAGACAAAAGAAACAAAGACAAGAAGCTGAAGATAGGGACAAGACATGGCCATGGCTGGAAGCCTTAGGTTTTGCCCATTGGCCGGCTCTTTGATACTGAGCTGGTGCAGTACCAGGTGCCGAGAGCGTTGATCGTCCGTCGCGAGGATTGCTTCGACGTCGAGTGGCCGGCCGAATGCGTCGATACGCCAGGGACGAGGTTTGGGTCTGGCTGGCCAATCGGCCATCCTGGCAGGGAAGCCGAATGCACGCAGCGATCGAGAAAGAGAGAGACACAGAGAGAGAGAGAGAGAGCGAGAGAGAGAGAGAGAAAGAGAGAGAGAGAGAGAGAGAAAGAAAGAGAGTGTGAGAGAGAGAGAGAGCGAGCGCGCGAGAGTGCCCCGATGCACGAATCATGCTGTACACCCAGTCTGAACAGGACTTCATGAACTTCACGGATGCCAAACCAAAAGCAACTGTTATGTAAATTATAGGATATTATATTATATATATATACATATGATATCATATGATTATCCACGCCTGCCGCTTTGACAGTCAACTCGGATGCAAACGTTGTGCTCCCAGGCAGCTCGGCCAAACGTGCGGAGCATCATTACAGCCAGCAGTGTAGCGACAGCGGATGGCTTACCAGGCTGGACTGACTCAGGTGCTGCGAGTGACTCCTTGTTAAAAGGAAAACAGGGGTGCTAAGGGTCATTGACATCAATGGCCACATGTGACATCGACAGGGTTTTCATGGGTCAGTGATGTCGGCAGGTGAGTCATGTCCGAAGCCACGACTGTCATGTCGCAGATTAGAATGTTTAAACATACGAAACATGGATGGGTTCTGGGGGAACGCCAGGCCACTACAATCCGAGGATGGGCGTGTCCTAGATGGATTAGAGGAATTGGGAAGTGCTTTTCTTCCTGGGTCTGGGCGACGCATGTTCACTCGATCCTGTTGTTTTGGGCGGTGACTTGGTCAGCTGGGCTTGAAGTCGTTCGGGGATGGATTTGAGTGGCAAACCAGACCACTCCCGAGCCTTATAGCCAAAGAATGCCAAAGATATTGCAAGGACAATGGCATCTTGCAGAGACAAAACCAGTCAATCCTCGTGCGTTCGAAAGCCATTTGCATTGCACCGTGTATTGCATTGTATTGCACCTCTTTGCACCAAGAACTCACATTCCTCGTTGAGCAATCCGTGGGGAGGCTCAGAGGATTTTGCTTGGGTGGGGATGTTCACAGTGTGCAATTCAATTTGAAGCTCATTTACACAATGTCCGTGAATGACCAGTGCAACTCGCACAATTCAACAATGCTTAGATTTATGTTGGGCAATGGTAGCCATACATGACCAACCATCAAATATATTTTTTTGTGAAAAAAATGCGAAACAAAGAGCAATACAAAAGCAAATGAAAATGCAAAAGCAGCGCGCATGTTTTGTGTTTTTGCATTTGGTTTGCTTTTTTTTTCCTGGTACCACTTCTGCACTTATGAGAATGTTTACCCGTCAGAAATTATTTGCTGTACGCTCCTAGGAAAAAAGCGGAAAAAAAAACGAAACATATGCGAAAATAGAGCGAACACAATGCGAAAATAAAGCGATAAAAAAGTGACAAAACAGCGACAAACGCGCACAGCTACATGTTTTTGCTTTGTTGTTTGCTTTACCTTTTTTTTGCTTTGGCTGGCGCGCCCGACATAAGCTTAGATGTTTCAATAATTTTATTGCCGTTTGAGCTTCTCGCTTTTACTCCAACCAGAAATTGATGAGTGTTCAACAGCTAGTAATATACCCTACCGTACTCCCAAGGCTTTGCATGACTAAATGCTGTCAGTGCCTTCCCTTAAACTACCTCCTCTCAGGTTGACAGAGCTGGGACCACGTCCTTTGCCCAGCAACGCAACTGCAAACGCATACGTATTTGGCGTAGAAGACGTCAAAGACATGGAAGGATTAACACTTTCTATCAAGATTGGTGATGTATTGGGTCCCAATACGGTTGGGCCGCGCCAGAAAAAGGAGACCGGTGTGACACCCGAAGTTTGTCCGAAGTCGGATTGATGTCTTGGGTAAAAATGGTGGAGACGCTCCCAGAGGCCGTTCTGACTGACTGGTCGAGAATCTCTCCTTGTGGGGGAAGAAACGTTTTACAATCCCTTATTGATCGTTGTACCCAGCATAATCAAATTGAGCCTGATCTCAGAGCGCTCTGTCACGTCAGCCACTGAGGCCCTGACTGGGAGGAGAGCTATTCACAAGGCCATGAGATCGGTGGGTGCTGCTACGTAGCACCAGACAAAGCCAGATCAGAAAAAAGGTATAAAAAGGTCAGAAAGGCTCGAAGCCTTTAACATTGAGCATGGAAAATACGGAAGGATGTGGTCGCTTTTGATGCTGCAGTCATTTGCGGTTGCTTTTGACGCGCCAGGTTACAGCATGCCCAGCGCCCCGACTACGTCCGGCCCAAGCAAGCCTCCAACTGCCACAGTCTTGGAGTCTTCAGAGGCAGGGTCTCAAGTCTTTGCAAATGGCTGAGGGGCCTCCCCTCAGCAGGGAGCGATCTCAAATCAATCACAAACTCGATCAGATGTGTTTGATTACGTTGATTTCAAGTGACAGATGTTCGCCTCGCTTCGAGACGCCGTAGACGGTTGTTGTGGAACTGTTGGGTCCTTGTTGCCAGGTAGCTCACACAGCGAGCAAAGAGGCCGTCAATGCTGGGCAAGCGATTGTTGGTTACAATCAATGACATCCACAAATGCCTAATTAGTTGATTCTACTTAGTAGCATGTTTCATCATGTTTCTCTCTTTTGAGTTTGTGAGGCGCAAGTGGAGCCTGAAGTTGTTCAGGTGTGTGGGGAGGGGCTCATGGTCAGATGATCGCTGCAACCGCACCCCCTTGCAACGGTCAGGTGTCGGCCTTCTTAGAAGGGACCGTGCTGCCGTGGCCTGTCGGAGAAAGGGAATAGCTTAGTAAAGAGCATAATCATGGACATACATACAAAGAACTTATCCCTTAGCAGAGGCCCATACTGCAACCAGATGTGTGAAATCAATGAGTACTTGAGTACCTGTAAGAAATATGTGATGCACCAACCTGAAAAGGTTGAAGTTAGTGGGCACTCATCGCTGAGGCCATACTCACTGCCAAAGAAGCCTCGACAGGTTTATCGCAATCAGGAGAGGCTTTTGAACGGTTGCTTCACTGTGTATATAAATATATCTATATACACACACATTATACTGATTCTACTGAGTCTAACAAAGCAAATGTGAATTTGGCCAACCTGCAGCAATGGATTGAATCCAAACAGATCAACCGTTTTGCAACTATGCCGGCACAGACTGAGCCTTTGATGAAGCTCCGGCCCTCGTGCCTGGTCTTTGATGCTCAAAAGTGGCAGGCCAGGTCTCAAACGTGTTCACGGGCTTCAGCGCATGATTCGCGCTCCACTTGGTCGTTTGTATGCTATAGATAACTGGCCACCTGGAGCTGAGCTGAATTCAGAGCTTTGCGCCTTCGCCCGCCTTCGCCTCAGGCAAACACTCAGCTGCTGGCGCCACCCTTCGATCGCGTGCTGCGGAAACTGCCCCCTGATGCGACTCGCCACGATGGAGTTGCCAGGAATCACTCGAAATCTACAGTACTTGGATGTCCTAGGCAACTGGCTTCGGTCGAACCATTTGTGGTTTTGTTGTTTGAGCCCGTGATTTGCATTGGAGACTAGTTCAGCGCTAGCAAAATGGGGTGTACCCTTGGCAAGACCTGGTGGCCTCCGCTATTGAGAGTTCTGGAGCCTTTTTGTACCTGGTTGTTTAGCCTTGTTTCTTCTCAGTTTACCGGTGCATTGAGCTGTCCAATTTCCACGTGATTCCTGTCTTGGTTCCGGGTTCCGGTGCGGCTTCTTTGTCCTCGTCACTTCCTCGCCGCGTTCGGCGTTGAGGTGAGGCCTGCATCTGGGCAGGTTCCTCCTGGCCCATTGTCACATCCTTCAGAGCCGGTCAGGTCACCTAAGAAGGCACCGTTTGAGCTCAGTCTTCACATGCTTTCCGTGACTGTGGATGTCCATATTTGACCTTTAAGATCCTTCAAGAATTGATTGGCCTTCTTCACGGTCTGCTTGATTTTGCAAAGGTTTGGTGCCGCTTGCAGCACCGCTTGGAGGCCCCTGGCCCAAAACATTGCTGCAGATAACTGAAAACGCGCTCAAATGTAAGAGGTCCATACAAGGCTGGTCATCCACAGCGTCAAGACTGGTTCTTCTGTGTTCTCCTGTTCTCAAGGTCATCCTGCGCAAGCAAGGACGCCGAGCAGAGCGTCGGAGGAGCGAATGGGGAGGACGTTTGGTGTCCAGGAAAGTGAACCAGCGAAGCAATCCGGAAAAGGTGTTCTCAAACACTTACTACGGTTCGTGCTGCGAGACGACAGGGAAGGTGGAGAGTGAGGAAAATCAAATGGAAAACACGCGTTTGCCTCTTGCAGAGTGGGTTTCAGCACAGGAAGCGCCGCCTGCGACAACGGATCTATCATGGCAAAGCACCGAAGCACCAAGGTTGGGGCATCGGAAAGGATCAGAAGTCAAGCCATTTGAACTTGGGAAGAACCTGTGAAAGACATGTTTGAGACTAGGATTCTCGGATCTCGAAGAGTCTCGGAGACATCCAAGCTTTGATCTTGGAGGTCTTGGCCGAGATCTTCGGGAGTATTTGGACAGAGCCTATGCTCAGGAGGCGGACAGACAGTTTGAAGGGACCTGGACATACTGCAGAACGTACTACCTGCCAAGATTGAATTTGTTTCACGGGCTCTAGAGTCTAGAGGTTTCTTTCTAGAGTCTAGATGTTTGGAGCACGACGTTTCTTTCACTGATGAGATGGAGCTGCTTGATGAGGGCAACTGCTGTGCCATCAAACTACGTTTGCTTGTGGGTCTTTGAAATCATCATAATTGAATCTCACTAAATTTCCGTCACTGCAGTTTCACTGAAGACAAAAACTGACGAAAACAAAACCTCACAGATCCTATCTCTGTCGTGTCGCGATTCTCCATGTTATCGAGCAATGGTAGGACACGCCGGGCGAGGCCAATGGGGAGTTCCTTGGAAAGGCGACCGGGGAAGCGTGGCCCAACCGGGGGGTCAAACACCGAGGAGCCTCGGGCCCAACGGGGAGTGGGCGCCGCTCCGTGAGGTTCAGGAAAGATACCTCCGGGAACGTGCCAGAGAAGAAGAGTATACCAAGGCGGCTCGAGTTGAGACTTTGAGTTGGAGGTCTTTGAGGCCAAAGGGAAGAACATATGGAGAACTGTTCAACCTGGCTCGCCAGGCTCACGGCAGGGAAAGTGTGCTTCGAAAGGCAGGCGATCGAACGTTTCATTATCCCGGCAAGAGACCCCAAACAGTGTAGAGTGTATATCAAACGCACTTTCGGAACAAGGGCGGGGCCCATCGGAGTCGGAAGTAGAGAGTAGTATGTGGAGGTGAAGCACCCACGAGCACCAAGGAGTAGGAAGTAGAAGCTCATGCCCGAAACCCAAAAGTGCAGAACACTGCGAGCGCACATCGGACCTTTTTGCTGGCACCGCGGGCGGGGCGAGACTGTGTCGCGGAACCCCAGACAGAGCGAGACTGTGTCGCGAAACCGCAGACAGAGTGTGTTTCTCGAGGAGGGCATCGCGTAACCGCAGATGGAAAGTCTCAGAGCTCGGGACAGGAGTCTGCTCAGCACACATCTGAGAGCACAGTCACCAGAGCACGCATCAAGTGAGTGAGTTAGTGAGTGGGTGAGTGAGTGAGTCCGTCTCTCGATCTCTCAGTCCACAAGCCCATGTTTGCAAAAAGTTCCTGGGTGTAACCACGCCAGGTGCACCGGATAAAAGAATAGCTGGGTGTAACCACGCCAGGTGACTCTAGAAACAAGAGTCTGAAGAAGACAGAGGTCTAGATGATCTCAGAAAGCGGTTCACGGAGCAGACATATCAGAGCAAGCTCGAGCTTCAGAGGTCTACAGAGTCTAGGGAGCGCACATCTCACGCATCAAGTAAGTGAGTGAGTGTGAGCGTGAGCACCGCTGCTTAACACCTACCGTAAGAACCCCTAAGTGTGTCCACACTGCTTGCTGGAAAAAAACCTTCCAGCTGTAAACTGTGCAGTGTTGTGCAGTCCAACTCCACTCCGGGCGACGGAACGGGAGCGTGTCGACTTCTTCCGGGCGATGTTTCCGATGTTTCCTCAGGTGGTGCGACCGATCTACGTTCCGCCACCGGGGGCCTTGGCCTCAGTGCCCGAGGTGATGAAGTCATGCGAAGTCACGGAAGTCTACTGGTTTCACATCCAAAGTTACCAGGACTTGAGCAATTTGAGATGGAAACATTGAACATCTATATCTTGAGAGTTCCTATCTTCTCAAGATTGAGGCAAGCATGGTTATCCCGGACATGGACTTTGCGTAGGCCTCGTGTTTTGCTTGGTAGTGCTTTCTCAAACGACCAATGTTCTGATATGTTCTGATCAATCTACACCGTCAACACAAGATTATATATGGCTATTTGAATATGAGGTCATACCCCTGTATGTTCATTCATGTTCATAGATGTTCATTCCACATCGTATCCACATTGTACATTCACTACACCATGGCGTCAAATGACGCACATGGTGACAATGTTAGAAGCTGTTTCACTTTTGTGCATACCGGGCGACCGTGACAACGAAGCTTCGCTTTGGGAGTCCTCCTTTGATGCACTTGTGCCAAAACGAATTGCCAGCCAGATAAGGTAATGGCTAGTCACAATCAGTCCAGCGTCTCAGAAGACTCCAGTGTCACGTCACCTGACTTGGGAGAATGCACTTCCCAAGTGCAGGCAGATATTCACGTTGCAGCGTTGCACCGAAAGGGCGTCTTTTGAGGAGTTGGGACTGGTGTTGCTCCTGCGAGTTGCTGACAGATGTCCTAAACTCAAAGCACCACCCAGGATGACAGATGTCGTGGATTATGTCTTTTTCGCTGCCATTTTAAGCCTTCGTCGACAGCCCCTACAAAAGCACCCCGTGGAGATAGGCCGGCACTCTGAGCTTTGAGACTTCAGACTTTCAAAGCGAAGAACAAATGCCCTGACTTCCTGGCTGGAGGTGTTTGTTTGACCTTTCCTGCGCCTCAGGTCGCCATGCGTCGTGCCTTGTGCTTGGGTGCTCTGGCCACCGCTAGTGGTGTGGTGACTCAGGAAACGGAAGGCCCTCGCTCCGGGGCAACAGAACTTCCCCCGCGGGCGACTCGCGACTCCGGGCGACTCGGCGCAGCATGCGCTGGCAAGGCAAAGTGTACTTCTCCGAGACCTTCGGTGATGGATGGGAGAGCCGCTGGAGCACCGGGCTTGTGTCATCCAAACGCATCATGTTTCATGATTTGGATGATCTGAATAAGGATCTGAGTCTTCAAGATGCATGATATATTTCAATTCACAAATTATATACACAAAGACGAATAAAGACTCGAGTCCAGATCGAGTCATCAAATGTCGCAGGACCTCTAGTGAGTGGAAGAAGAGCGATGGCACGCAGGCCCATGGGCCTTTTTTTGCAGGTACATGCCCATGGAGAAAGTTGAAACCCCGGCCCTCAAGCTGATCAACAAGTCCAACCTGATACGTGAAGAGTTCAAGTCTTTACTGGGAGCAACAAAGTCTATCAGTCTATCACCTCAAATGATTGCAGACATGAACAAAGGACACAGGCATTCCAACCCATGTAAGCTATCTTGACGTCACGCAGCTGCCAGGGCACGTGGAAGGCATCAGCTGGCAAATGGTTTAGTCAGCAGCTGAGTGAGTCATCTGGTCGGCTGATATGAGGGAAAAGTAGGAGGCATGATACTGGTTTTGAGCAAATGACATGTTGTCACTTGCACCCCAAAGGAGAAAAATCATGAACAACTATTTAGCCCATTACACTTTGTAGTTATATATTTCAATGATGTGCAAAACAGATGTCTAGGAGATTTCTTCAGCCTTTTTGTAGAGACCCTGATCTTTCATGCCACAAGATGGCGAGTGTGGACAAGCCAACGAACAAGTAGCATGCAAACTGGCCTCGCACAATTCCAGGAACCCAAGATGAACATTGAGTACAGGTCAAAGAGATTCAAAGAGTTTCCTTTATGGTTTTTGATTGCCATCAAAGCCACAGCATAAGGCGATGAGAAAGAGGATCAGGGGATCCAAACAGCCGAGGAGCAGCGGGCAGCGTTTCATCTCAATGAGAGTGGCACTAGGTGTGGGTCCGAAGACCCCGGACCCCCACGGTGGACCCAATGTGCACAAGATCTTGAGATAGGATTCACTTGTGATTCTTGCGAATACTGCAAGAGCAGTAGTTGGATACTGGGTGCTTGTGAAGGACTCACGTTTCTTCGGCCTGTCTGCCGGCTTTGATTCCTTCAGCAATGCGGGCAAGGACCTCATCATCCAGTATCAGGACACTAGTCAAAGCATGTCAAAACTACCGTTGGGTGAGAAGAAGCACATTTCACAGTCACTGATGAACTCAAAAAAGTATCTGCAACCGCCTCATAGCATGGCATGTCAGGCTTTGATGTTGAGCCTTGTTCCGTCAACGGGCGGTGTTTTTCGGTTTTGCCGTGTTGCGACCCACACCACGTGGCCCCTGGGTGGGAGGCCAAGTACGAGAAGGACATTGAGTGCGGAGGTGGCTATGTCAAGGTGGGCCCCAAGCTCAGCGATCCCACCAGCTTCGGCGATCCCACAACCTACAACATCATGTTCGGCCCAGACAAGTGTGGTTATACGAAGCGAACCCATTTGATCTTCAACTACAAGGGCAAGAATGTGTTGAAGAAGTCAGACCTGGCCTACAAGCAGGAGGGTGAAGGCACCTCTCATGTCTACAGGCTGGTGTTGAAGCCAGACAACACTGCTCGAGTAGAAATCGATGGTGAGAAGATTTACGAGGGATCTTTGAAGGAAGATTGGGAGTTGTTGGCTCCTAAGGAGATCAAGGATCCTGATGACAAGAAGCCCAGTGATTGGGTCGACGACAGCATGATGGATGACCCGGCGGACAAGAAGCCGGAGAATTGGGTGGAGGAGAAGCGCATCTGGGTCGTGGTTCGGGATGTTTTGCTGTACGTGTTTTATTGTTGTTTGTAATGTCCAATTCCTCTGACTGGGAAATTACTGGGAAATTTGTTATATAGTTATATTATATATCAGTTTAGCTATAAGTTATGTATATATTATATATTGTTATTATCAACCAGGCATTGTGGATGCCAATGCCAAGAAGCCAGATGACTGGGACGATGAGGAGGATGGCGAATGGGAGGCACCAATGATCGACAATCCTGAGTACAAGGGTGAGTGGACGGTGAAGCGAATCTCGAACCCAGCTTACAAAGGCATTTGGGAGGCAAAGAAGATTGCCAACCCTGAATTCGTGGATGATGACAACCTCTACAAGTACGATGACTTCGGCTTCATTGGTTTTGACTTGTGGCAGGTGAAGGGCAACACAATTTTTGATAACATCATAATTACCGACGATGTTGCTGAGGCTGACAAGTTTGTGCAGAAATGGAAAACACTCAGTGAGGTGGAGAAAGCGAAGAAGAAGGAGGAGGACGATGCCAAGGCGGAGGAGGCGAAGAAAGCCGCTGAGTCGACGGATTCCAAGGATGACGACGACGACGATGATTCCGAGGACTGAGCCGAGGAGGAGCCGAGCAGCTGAGCTCAAAGAGCGCCAGAGCTTCGCCGGCATGTTCTCACCTGTGGACCACAGTGGACCACACCCGAGTCCGCTCTTTTTCTCGCCACCTCGAACGTGTTTTTTCAATTTTGAGAAATGTGGTTACTCGTTCAGTCCCATCTTTAGCAACAAGTCTAGCACCTTCTTTTGAACAATGTTAAATTGAAGCGATCCTGAAATCGTGGAATCGGATCAATTGCTATAGTTCAAGCATCCAATAAGCGACGCTGAAGCAAAGACCATCCGAATAGACCTCCGGCTGCAGCAGCAGCTGGAAAGTGCAGATGCCAAGAGAAAATGGAGCGACTGAGTTCGTAGGGTGCTATTGCGTGGAGCAATGCTGAGATCGACCAGTCCGCTACCACGCCGGTTTCTGTATCATAGCGCCGCGCTACTCCGCTCCCGCCCTCACAGCGGATGTGCTTTCTCTTTGGAGTTAGTCCCTAAATTCAGCACTCCAAGTCTCCGTTTGCTCCGCTGTGCGCATCCCTCAAATGCTTTAGCGTTGATCGAGCCAATCACCTCCCTTCAGCCAACCACGCGTCCCCACTGAGCTGATCGGTGCCGTGAGAATCTGCACACTCTTTGCCTCGACCGAGCTGGCATCCTGTGAGTGCGCCTCTATAACGTGAGCCATTCTATCTCATGAAACTTATTGCTTGGATCTCATCCAGGGTGCCTCGCCTCCCTCGCTGTTAGGCCACAGGGCCAGTTGCCGGCCCGTTGTGCGGATGGATTCGCTGTCTAGAAAGGTAGCGAAGACTGTCCAAGCAGAGGGGCGACGACCACACTGAGAGATTCCAATATGTTTAGACTTGTCAAACTAAGCTTGTCTATCACGCTGCGCATGCTTGCCTTCTTGCTAATGAAGGCAAAACCTCAGCAACGTTTCACAGTGTGTGTTTAATGTTTGAGACTTGTTTTGCTTGGGGGCTTCTGTTGTTCTGTGGCGTCGACGGAGTCAGCTTCAGGTTCTTGCAATCTATCCGTCTACCCGTCGACAGAACACGCGTTTTGTCCCAGCTTTGGTCATGCCATCCACCCTGGCCGTAGAGCTGCAAGACCCAGCCGAACCCGCGGGCAGTTCGTCAGTTCGCTCCGCGTCGGAAACTCCCCACATCGCGCGGGTTTCGCTTGGCAGCGAGCTGATTCCAGGATGACCTTATCCGACTTCCCGTGCTGGTGTGTCCAAGTTGATAGAGCTTGGTGGCTGGAGTACGTGATTTGGTCAAGTCATCTCCCTCATTGCTAGCCAACGAAAGAATTCGAAGGAATTGGACGCACACGGCTGCAGACTGTGCCCCACGACGACATGTTTGCAGCAAGAAACTAATAGCATCAGATTGGACAGTTCTTGCGACATGTCCTTTGCCGGAAAGAAATGACAAGCCATCGTTAGACTCAACGCTACGCGGACTTAAAGATCAGTGTAGGTCACGAACCATTGCCGCAGAACTCGAACTTTTTCGGAAGAGCAAGAGGAACCGCTGCATCTGTGTGTGTGTGTGTGCGTGTGCGCGCGCGGTCTTTTAACACATCGACCTTCAAGGAACTGATCAAAATGACAGATAAAAGGACTGGAGGAAAGCTTCTCGCGCCCCACTTCTAGCAAAACTCATAACTCTGCTAACAAGATCTAACAAGTACTGTAAATTTTGGACAGTGGGTAGGCACCACATCCTGATCTCGTTTTGTCGCAGTTCGTGCTCTTTGTCCCCTTTGGTCCCTTAGTATCGGTGTTGTGTTGTCTACAGGTGGAACTATGTGGAAGCCCTTATTTCCTTGCCTCATCAGCACGCAGCAAACAAAATTTGAAGTCAGACTGACGAGCAGACTTTGGACCGCGCAGTCATCTTCCGTCCGCTTCGGTTTCGTCCACAAATCCGATGTCATACGACTGACATCGACTGACGTGGGGGGAACTTGCGAAGGAACGCGAGATCAACTTCACCCACTCACCGACTTCAACCTGGTAGCCATTCGTAGCCCATTCGTGGCCTGACCAAGCCACACAGCTGCTTCACCGTAGCCGACGACCCGCAGCCTTGATCCCCAGCAGAGCAGCTTCGGCCTTGCACCAGTCGCAGGGCTGACCAGCTATGAAGATGTTGGAGTCGTCAGGACTCTGACGACTCCATTCTGCCATAGCCACTGCCTGAGTCCTCCATTCTTCATGCTGTATGAGCATCACATGCCCCCACCTGCACTTGGGCCTCGCTTGGTCGCAGCCAGCCCGTGAAAATGATGCCATTACTCATTCTCAAAGCGCTATCATTTGGTCTTCACCATGCTGTTCACCTTCGTGGTGCTATGGGCGCTTGGTGGCGGTACAAGGCGATCCCATTTCCATGGTCATGCCGAACAGCTTGGTCCGCGTGCGCGTGTACGAAGTTTCTTCGCGCTTGCCCTTCCGTCTTTGCGTTTGGAGATGATCATGTCCGTGGCTTGCTTCACCTGGCGTCCCACACCTTACATTCACCGTAGTATTAGGCGTGTTCCACTTGGAAACACATTGCTCGGATAGTGTCGACGCAAGCCCTAGCTGCATTTGGGCACGCATGCCTCGGTGGAGACCCTGGATGACTTGAAAAAAGTCTGCCAGGGATCACTCGATCTTTTTGCAAGGCTGGTGTTTGATCTTGTGCCATCTTGTGCCTGTTGTGACGATGGCGCCCGAACTTTGGGTCCATCTGTGAGGGCTTGTGGTCTTGGAACCGGGAATCTGCTGAGAATGTTTCCTGGCACCTTGAACACAGTCCTTGCTCAATCGCAATTGTACCGACACTCTTGAGGTATTTTGAGGTCTGCAGCTGTAAACCGCCTGTGTCGTGTGCTTTACATCATGCAGAGATCCGGGTCCATGCCTTGCAATCCTTTCTCGTTAGTGTTTGGCAATCCTCGACATCATGTGGCGTTGGAATTTGAACAACCCCAGGCACCTCGGACTGACGGGGAGCATGTGGGGTCCGGTGGTAAGAGTGATTGTGTTGCTCCATGTTGCTCCCCTGAAAGCAGCGAATGCAAACCGTGACGCGACAATGTGGACATTGTCCTAAACATGTCCAAACGACGCTTGAAACAGCATTGCTGTTTGGGGATCTGTGTCGCGAACGATCGTTGGATGAACAAGCTAGTTCATGATTCATGATAGTTCCTGTCCGTCTTGGTGCTACCAACGCCTGCGTCCAAACAGGCTTCCAGTGCAAGTCCAAAGTCAAAGTAGTGTTTCTCCTCTTCAGTCAGATGACCGTCGGCTGACCCTTCGGACATCTTTTGTCCGCATATGCAATTGGTCCTGGAAAATGTGATGGAGTCAACTGTGTGGCAAAGTTATAGGTCTCTTGGACTATTCAAAATCGCACGATATCTTTGTTCCAACCCGGAGGGGTTTCTTTGCAGTCAAGCAAAAAAACGCCTCAACATATTGAGAACTTAGAACTTCAATACAAGAGGCATTGTCCTGCCAGACCACGAGATACCTCAAGAAGAAGTGGTGATGAATGCATATGAATGCAAAGGACATTCTCGCAAACCACGCGAAAAGACCCGCCCGTAGATTTCAAACGTTTGCGTAACTAGGGGTAAGCTGGGAGTTTCTCGGGCCAGGATTGCAGTGCTCCATCTATTGCGGGGTATCGAGAATATGTGTGTTTTTCCAGGGATAATGTTTGCAATTCGCGTAGGCGGAAAAGTTCACAAAGGGTCTTCAATACTTGGCTCTAAAATAGGGAGGCGTGTGCGGGCGTTTGCATATTTGCCATTCTGTGGAATATTGACAGCACCTGCTCGTCGCCGATCTTGGGCGACCCGCGGCTGGTGTGCACGCCTGCGAAGGAGAGAGAGCGCGCAGATCACCTACGGAAAGTGCAGACATAAGCCGGAATGGAAGCGCGTGTCCCTTTCTGAGCGGAAAACACTGTAGCTCAGCTTGTTAGATGCAAACTGACTGTGCAAGAGGCACTTGAATTTGGACGTCCATGAATTGTGGCAAGGGGATGCAAAGGGTATGTGCATCACACCTGCATTCCTGGCACGGTGTAACTTGAGAAGATTGTTCTGTCTTCTGCGAAGCGAAGTCGTACACGTGCCCTGACCCCGTCCTCTGGCAAACGCTCTACCACACCCTTGCCAGCTTTCAAAGGATGCCAAGCAGCAGCTGGCCACAACCTATACCCCAGCCGAAGCCTCCTGGCCACTCGCACTGCACGAAGCTGGCACTCAAACACGGCCTGCTTCGGCCGCGGCCACCCTCGCCAGTGACTGGCGCGCAGAGCAGCCCGACAGCAATGCGGCCTGCCCTTGCGGTGTGGCGGGCCCCACAACACCGCCACCCACAACAGACTTCGGGATGACAACAGCAGGCATTCCCGCACGCCCCAAGGCAACCCAGCCTGGACAAACAGTGCGACCGCAGAACCACCAGCATTGGTGCTGCCCGAAGTAGGCACCCCTGCATCATCCGGAGCACCGGCTGGCCAACTCCGGCTTGTTTGCTGGGGGTCGCTCGCGACTCAAGATCAAACATGTGTGTGTTTTTTGTTTTCTTCGCTCCGTTAACTTCAACTTCTTTTGGCAGGGCCCTTGTCAAACAGCCAAACGTAATCACTCTCACTCATGTTTGGGTATCGCCAGATCGTGCGTATTATTTGGTGCTACCAGCGCGTCACCCGCTCCGCCGTCCTTGCAGACCTCACGCAAGATGCAGTGGCCCCCCGGCGCCCCGTCAAGTGCGTAAAGTGGGGGCTTTGTGCATAGCCCGCCGTGTGACCCGTCGAGCCCGCGGCGCAACAACAAAAAAGGAAATGTTTGCCGAAGTGAACGTCAGCAGCCCCAGATAAGAGTGCTAGTCGAAGTGCACGTCATGACCCCACCCCACTTCAACTGACTTGAGATGCGACATATGGTTTTAGCTTGAAGCATCTTGAAGTGCATGTTGCAATTTCCGGTGGCTATGTGAT